GAGCGTTGTAAAACCAAAACCACAGTAATCCCAACAACTATTAGTAAGGAACAAAAATACCCTCAAGAAGCAACGAGAACTTCAAAAGAAAAACTAAGCAAACCGCCCAAAGTGCGGGAAAACGCGGATGACCAAATCGTGATTGGTTTTAGTTTTACATCTGATTGGTTGGGAAGTTAGCGCGGGTTTTCTGAACCAATCACAGAGCAAAGAGAAGCCGAATTGACGCAGATTAGACACTCAAATGAAAATTGCACTATTTCACTCTTAGATGTGCCAACGTCCTCTAAACCAACCAAATTCAAAGCTGAAAGCAACTGTGACTTGGTCAAACGCGTTTTTCCGAGCATCAGGTAGAATGTCAGTTTTACTCGATTGGCGTTTTTCCTTTATTTTGATCCTTTGGTTTGTTGTGTTTGCTCTGGGTTTGGTTTCACGAAACTTGGTCGGAATTCGTCTTTTCCATCCAAATTACTTTTTGGTTTGTTCTTACTTTTGAGGAGTTTTTGTTCCTTGCAAATTAGAGCCTAAGTAATCATAACAGCCGATCAGAAGAAAGGAAAATACATTAAGGAGCCAATCAGGGCTCAAAGTAAAAGCAGGCAAACTACCTAAAGCGCGGGAAAACGCGGGCGACCAAGCGGTAATTGGTTTAGGCTATGTATCTGATTGGTTGAGAGGGTGGTGCGAGTTTCTTGGACCAATCACAGAGCAATGTGAAGCAAGACCAATGCAATCGCGGATTACTTTTGAAACTTATTTGAAAATTTCTCAATTTTAGTGTGAAGGTTTTATGCTGATTTTGACCAATTAATTTCATTTCCAAAATGATCCAAAATTTCGAGACGCCCTTCGTTCTGATTTCACCGCATTTTTTTGATTTGTGAAGGAATCGAACGACGGGTAATTTCCGTTTATTTATTTATTTTTTTTTTTCATATAAGAATAACCTTATCTTGGTCAATAAAAAATCCAGAAAGTTTTGGTCCAAAGACACAGGCCCAAAACTGAGACAACAAATAACTTAATAAGGCACAAATTAGTAGCGCACAATGGCGCAAGGCGCTACCAAAAGTCTTTATCACTCTTATCCTAACTTCATCCGGTAAGCTTTATCTTTGATCCGTAAATATTGAAAACCTTGTAAGGGAAAAAAGTTTTTCGAACTGGGGCTAAGAACACGCACACAAAAGGCCTTCGTCATTTCAGTTTAAGATAAATTCGTATTATCATCAAATGCACAGATAAAACTATATGATAAATGAGTTTCTCTTACCCTGAAGTTAGCAGTTAATTCTATGTAGATTGAACATCTTATGATTTCTTTGTGGCACCGAAGACAAGGGTTCATCTTTTCAAAATTTCTTATTTTACCTAATAATATTTGTTTTTTAAGTCTGCTAAACAGCTGAAAAAAGAAATGATCTGAACGTTTTAGCGCTAAAAAGTAAACAGAAATCTTCTCAATTAACGGTTAGTGAAAGTAATGATTTTTATAAAAACGTTTCAAGAATTTCTCTGGCTTATTTTTTTTGTCTGAGTTCAAATTAAACGTAGAAGACGCAGTACCCAGGATTTTAACCTAAACAAAACACCGCGTACCAGCTTGCCATGATAGAACCAAATTCCTCTTAACTCGTAATCAAATTACTTATGTGAATTTATCATGAAATTAAAACAGTTGGTGACAATATTTGGCAATTAAACCGAGGCTGAGCTTAATTACTTTCATTCATTCCTCCTTTATCACAGCAAACTTGAAGATAAAAACTCCTCGCTAAGTAATAACCATTACAAAAGACGGATGGCGCTTTTGTATTAGTCACGTGCACTGTCGGAGGCTGTTATCAATAAACCTAAAAGATTTGTTCGCGAACAGGGACATTTCTATTGGTTTAAAAGATTAAACAAGAAAGGAACTTAGCTTTTTAATTAATTATTATTTAAAAGTGGAGTAGTTTACACTTAAAGTTAAAATAATATTTTATCGCAAACTGCGCAACAACTCGGCTAAAATGAATGACACGCTAGAATTTGCAACCTCCATCCCGAACAATCAAAATTTCTCATCTGCTGAAGTCGAATATCTAGACTTGTCTACGTTCTGGTTTAGTTCTTTTATTGTGTTTTACTGTCTCTTTAGTTTTGGGACTATCCTTGATATTTTCGTGATTTACGTTATGTTACGAAGTGGACAATTGCGGAAAAACTTTTCCAGTTTTTTAATCTTTCATTTATCTTTGACTCATTTTTTGTTTCATCTTGTGTTCGCTATGAATTTCACTCGAAGTTTTTCAAGAAGGGATCCGGTAATGTGCAAAGTTTCCATCTTCATTGAACACGCGTGCCCGGCAGCTATTTTCAGCACCTTGGTCGCCATTGCTTGGGAGAGACAAAAAAACATCCTACAGCCTTTTAAAAGTCTGATTTCCACGCCTCTGAAGTCGTACGTACTGATGGTTACAGCTATTTGGGTATACGCTGTGTCATCTTCAATTTCGTTTGCTCCAAGTGTAACTGTCCGCCCCATCGAATTCTGTCAGAAAGTCAACAGAACTCAGAAGTGCGAGGAATATATTTTATGCGACAGACCGAGCGGCACTTGGCAAGTTTTGCTATCGCAAACAGTGTACACTATTGTGGCGTTTTTTATTCCTCTCATCTGCATGATAGTTGCATATACAAGAGTTGCAGTTCGCTTGTGGAAAAGAAGCAAAAATGGAGCCATTCATAGCGCTGTGGCAAAACACAAATCAAAATCGATACGTTTGTTGGTTTTCGCTGTTCTTGGATTTGTTCTTTGCTGGGGACCGAGTATTTTGTTCAACTTTTTGGATGAATATCGTGTTCTAGAGGGATTGGAGATAGAACGAAAACTACTCTTGCAGCTTTGGCTGACATTTATAGCTCCTGCATCAAGCTCCTGGGTAAATACCGCAGTGTATGCATTGTTTTGCCCAGAGTTTAGGAAAAACAGCGTCAAATTTGCCTGTTGTTGTTGCTGCTGCTACTTTCGTTCGCGTTGCATTGTTTCAAGTAAACATCGCGTGAGTCCTGATGAAATACGTATGACGAGAACTAGGCAAACATCGATCGGACAAAGACAAAATGCTCTCCAATGATAAACTATTCCACTCCTGCATGGAAAGCCTTTCAAGAAACAAAATGTTTTCATCTCGACTTGAGGCATCATCATAATCCATTTATTTGCCTTTTTTTTAACATAAACGATAAAAAGATTTACAGCATCATAATTATAAGGAGAGGAAGCCTCAAAAAAACTGCCAGGCTTTGGGAGAGGTCTCTCACTTTCAGCAATATATTTAAAAGCGTTCGGCTAACGATTGCGAATAAGAGGGTTAAACCCTTAAACTCCTAATATCTCATTAGTAATTCTCCTTACTGTCTGCCAAACGATTCTCATTATGTTAATTTGGAGAATTTGGTGTCGGATCAATCATCACACATAAACTGTATGGCAGACAGTAGGGAGAATTACTCATGAAATCTTGGGAGTTAAAGAGTTAAGACCCTCGACTAAAACTTTATTTGGGCAAACCCCTTGAAAATTATCGTATCTGTATTGCAGGTCGTTTCATTACTTGTCCAAAAATAGAATTTATTAAATTACTTCTTGTCCAAAAATAGAATTTATTAAATGAAAGGCCAATGAAAACCGTGCCTAGATCGGGTGACGCGTAGTTAAGCCATATGACTTAGAGAATTGATCAAGACGTAACCTTCTTGCGATTTCAATACATTACCTGGTAAGCAGGTCAGGAGAATAAAATAGTAGATCAGAAAGATGGGTTCATATTGACATGATACCAATTTTTGCGATATCATTAAACAAGGAATGAAAAATAATTCATCCGTCGGAGAGCCAACGCGCCGTGTGAAATAATTGAGAAGTTGCGCTACATCTCGGACTCTGGGCAAGCCTTCCCTTCGTTGGTGAAGATTGCATTATGCTAAAAAAAGGCCGTATTTTCATATCAATGACATGATCGATGTACAGTGATAATTAGGTCAAATTCGTTTATTACATCCATGGGAGGCTAGCCACAATATGAAAACTGATTAAGTAACTTACTAAGACTAATTTTTCTAAGTTTTAGTCCAAAATAATTATTGATGCCTTTTTTCGTTATTTCAAGACATCACTGAGTAGAAAAAACAAAGTAGTCTAAGAATGACCAGGATTAAATAAAAGTAAAATATAAAAAATTTAAAAGTGTGGTGGAATAAGATTTCTTTCAGTCAAAAGTGATCAGTACACTCAACACCATTTCCCGAGTCTTCAGTTTCGCTTTCTCGAGTGGGCATCGGTTAAATACTACGGCAACTGTGATTTCTAAGAAAATAGGGATTTTAAGAAACTACGACGGCAACGCCGTGGACAACTCAAAAAAAAAAAAAAAAAACTAAAACAAAACAACTAAACAAATTCTCCTAGCCAGCACATTAGGAACAGTATGGAGGATATACATACTGATGTTAGGGTGTACGGGGTTAAAAACAAACTTAAGTTTTGCTTACGAATCTCGCGATACTCTGAAGTCATTTAGTGTGTTTCTCACTGTCAAAATTATCTCGAAACTGAACATGGAACACAGCGTTTAATTAGAAATAGAAGTTTAAAAAATTAGCTGTCGTCGTTCCCGTTCTCCGAAAAAAGCCGCAAAGCTTGGTCATTTCAAGTTGTTGTTGGCAGTGGACGCAAAGTAATTTACAAAGATTTATAACGCACGTGCACAGCCATTGTTCTGCTCAGTAAACCTTTCGTTTGGTGACGCTATCGTTGACGTCGTAGTTTTCTTAAATTCCCTAGTGCTACGAATACCGCAGTTTTCAGTCGAGTGTCGAAAGCAACCCGGGATTGTTTTGGTTTTACTTGATAACAATGTTCTGTGATTGGTCCAGAAAACCACCACCACTCGCTCAACCAATCAGATGAAAAAAACTGAAACCAATCATTACTTGATCGCCCGCGTTTTCCCGCCCTATAGATAGTTTGGTTTTTTTAACTTTGAGTTCTCATTGGCTCTTAAATATATTCTCTGTATCCACAACCTTTTCTACGAAATTTTGGTTTTGTTTCACGACACTCAATCAAAAAGCACTCTATTATCATCAACGTGAAACTGAACAAGTTAGAAATCATTTATAATCAAGTGAAAGAGAAGGTGAACAAATTTCAAGAAAATCCTTTGTTTTCTCCCTGCTTCACCAATGCAACTTCATTGCTTTTCAACCCTTCCGTAGAAAGTATTATCTTATACAAAGGGAACCTTCTACTCCATTTAGGAGGACCCCCAAAAAACCAGTACCACTAATTTTGCAAAACAATTTAACTACTGGTCTAGTTTCCAGTCTCTGGCCAGCGCCACAGTTACAAAGGCTTGGGAAGAAAGCAATTTCTCTAAGTACATGATTGGTTAGATAATAAAATAATCGAACTAACAAAAACTAAAAATGGGGTTTGGTTTCTACGCGACCTGAAAAAGAAAGCGCCTCCCGTTCCTTAGTGATCGACCTGTAGGATAACGGCTCTGAGAAAGAGCTAGTATAATAAGTTAGTTTAAAACTAAAACATCTTGTTCTTGAGATGTAAAAAATGCACCAAAACTAGAGCAATAAAAACTTAAGCCGGTTGTGCATGCGAAGTGCATGCGACGAGTCCCTTGAGATCAATCATCGTCTGTCTTCGTTTTCTTAGCGGAAGGTTCCCCTTCATCAAATCTCGTGTGAGTCGCTGTCGATTTTTCGTCGTTTCCATCGTTTCGTTTTCCTTCCAGCCTGTCGGAAGTTCGTCTTTTTCTTTGAGGCCGACCACCTCGACCGCCTTGTCCTCCTTTAAATTTCCTTCCTAAACAAAAAAAAAAAAGAAAAATTACAGTTCCCAGTAACAAATACAAAAGTATCTACCTTGAGAAACCCTTTAACCCTTTACACCTCAAGATCAGCATGTATATTCTCGATAGTGTCCTCAATACATTCCCTATGGTGTTGACAAGAACTTGTTTAATCAAGAGCTACTCGAATGTGTGGTCATTGTCTGTATTCTCATAACCTCGATGTTTGTTCAATACTGATAATGTAGAGAGAAATGAAAGGAATTACTTATCAACCCTTTATTCCTTACTCCTTAAGAATAAAGGGTTGACCACTTACACCTCAACATAAGTGGGTTTATTCTCGTTACTGCTCTCTACAAATTCTCTATGATGGTAACAAGGAGAATTTGTTTAACAATCAAGTGCTCCTAGAGTTGAAGACCATTGCCTTTATGTTTGATTCAGGGGTGATATTGTAAGAAGGAAACAAATGCTAGTCACTCCTAAGGAATTACAGAGTTAATTTCTCTGTAGAAGAAATGACAAGCCAAAGGAAAGAATCCGCGTCTTTTTAAAGGACACAGAGAATAAAAAGGTATTGTCTCTGAGGCACAGAATACTTGTATCTTTATCTTCGAGAACATTAACAACAAGACGCGCGCATGTCAAAAGTTACCTTTCTTTTGCTTGGCTTTTTCTCTGTCTTCTTTTGTTTTTAACCAATAATTCTTTTCTTCCTCACCTTCAAAAGAAAATAAATACAAAAATGTATTTGAGTAAGGAGTTCATCTGCAAATTTAGAGTAGGATTGAGAAAGATGGAGAGGGTTTAGGAACATTTTCAGCGTCTTTTAGTTGGCTCTACTGGTAAAGGTCCAAATATTTGTGAAAGGTCGAGAGTTTGAGCCCCAGCTTTCGATCATACAAACAAAATTGTACCTTCTAGGACCCGAAGAGTTGTTTCCACATCCCTGATGAGTATTTTACCGTCGTTTGCTTCCTTTAGAGCGTCAATGGCTCGCTGGGCTCCTCCCTCTTTAGAGAAACGAATGAAGCCCTGCAACAGAGAACTGCACTGTCAACATAATTCGGTTAAAAATACTCCAAGCTTTGCGCGAATTTTCTCTTGACAGACTCAAAATCATAAGCGAAATTTTAGCCTGGGCAGACTTATTGGCCGTCTGTGGTTAGCTCAAATTTGACAACTTCCTTGATTAAGCAAATTAAACGTAGATTCAGATCAGAAGTTTTATTACTCATGGTTATTTTCAGGAATCACTCTCAGACAATTTTGGGGCCATTTGATCATTTGTGACAATAGGCGATGATCCTACTACGCATGAGCACAATATTCGATTATTTTTGGGCAATACATCGCAGATCACGTGTCGTGTTGTCGACCGATAAAAAGTAAGAGAAAAGTATGGGGTGATGTTTTGTCTACAACGTGTGTATCTTTGTGTTCTTCTCTTATCACACCGCTCCTAACCAGGCTCTCCACAACAACGAGTCTTGGAGGCAAGAAACCTTTGTACAGAAGGATGCTCTAATTGCACAAACCTCTGTTTCTCCTCTGGTGAAGTCCACCCAAGCGATATCTTCATGCTCACCGAACAGACTCTGTAATGCAAAAAGGACCGTAGTGAGTTTATGATTTTAACACATTTCTATAGACCTTATTCAACAATGGCAGAATTTTTCATCTCCTCTGTTTCCTCTGTTTTCATGGCTTGCATGTTAATCAGCCTTCATAGCCTCAATGCCACGTTTCCATTTTTGAGGGTTAGCTTGAAACGAGGAAACGAGGACACATCAACTTGAAGTAAGAAGAAACTGCATCATTTTTTCCCGCCAAGTTTAAGAACAATATGTATCTGGGAGAATCTGTGCATTTTTCGGTTTCCACACTGCAAAACACCGATTTTATAGTGTTCGTGCCCTCCACAGTTTTTCATTTCTCGACATTAGGTATTCAGCTTTGATCAAAAGAGAAAAAAAAAAAAGATCTTCAAGAATTCACTTGCCTCGTCCCTAAACCTTATCATGTCACCTCAGTTTGAATCATTATCCTTGGCATTGTTAAGAGAAGCGGGGAGAACACTGAGAAGCTACTAGAAACTAGTTCCTCGCCACTTAATTCACCCATAGACGGAGGGGAGGGTGGGGGTACATGTAGCTTTCCTACGTTTGACGATGGTTTTCAATAAATCTCTTCGCGATGTCTGACCTCAATCGTAAAATAATAACAATAACAACAATAATCACGAATAAATTAATTTCAAAACCCCTCTACCTTCAGGTCTTCACGAGATGTCTGTTCGCCTACATTTTTGAAATGCAGCACACAGCCATTGTCATATTTCAAGGCCTCCTAAAAACATGTCAAATTTTAATTAGACTTATTTAATTATTAATTGGTAATACGGTACCATATTCTAGTTTAAAGGGATCTCTGAGGTATCGGATCGCAAAAATCGAAGGCGTGGGAACTAAGCTTTAGTTGTTTTCCTACGCTAGTGACAATTGAATAGAAACGTCTCAATTTTTCATTCCAGGAGCGATCTCAAAATTTATCATCTTTCCTGATATACTGTAATAGAATTCCGTTGGTATACAGTCTATGGAAATTAATTTAAAAAAAAAGAAAGTTACAATTGCTAAAATTAAAAAGTAATTAAAGGCTTTAAATACGACATCTACAAGGAAATGGCGAGAAACCTCTCGAGCGATCTTCAGCCGAAGAGAGAATCGAGTCACTACTTTTAAAAGTACTTTTGCTGATCATATAAAAAATTATACACAGTAAAGATGCGCAAAGAAATTTGACGGGCCATAAACTCCCCGATCTAGTCATCAATTCTCCCTTATAGCTACTTTACGTTTTTAGTCAACCAGTTTAGAGAATTTGATGATCCATCTAAACAAAATCCTCGCGCTGGTAGATGGGTATTTTCTCATCAACTGTTTGAAAGATGATGTAATTTCTCTTGTGAGGAGAAGCTAGACGTTGATAACGCATGAAATTTAAAGATTTAATGAGAATTCTATCTTATACCTCTTTTTCCTCTGCGTCTTCTTTGCTTTCTTCTTTCGTTTCTTTTGCATCGTCATTTTTTCTTGAAAAGAAAAAGAGAAAATAAAGGAACTGGATAATTTCGTAAAATTTCTCCATTAGAGAATCAATGAAGATCAGTTCAATAGATAGCCTGACTCTGCAAGCGATGAAAAGTTCATTTATCTCAGAACAAATACCACGATGAACAACAACTCATAATTTCCTATGACAAAACACATTATACAAGAACACACTTACTCGGCCTTTCTCTTGTTCTCCTCTTTCTTGTGAGGATTTTCTCTTTCTTTCTTCTTATAGTAATCACCCCTATTGCAGAAATACTTCACGTTAAAATAACGATAAGGCGCACCTTAAGCGTACATTATTTATAACTGGAGCCGATTGTCAAGTGCTTTGTAAATCACTTTTAATCTGGGTTCAAGGATGACATCTGAATCCGTCGCTGGTCGAACCTTGAACCTTGAAAGCTCCGAGAGTTGAGGATCGATTTTCGAGTCGAGACTCCCGATTGCAAGGCTATCCTTCTGTGTAAAAGCCACTCTGGGATAATGATTTGAGATGTCATCATAATTTCAGTCTCAGAAAAAAAAATAATAAAAGCCCATGTGCAAATAATGAGACAGCCAAACGAAACTTGACAAAACTCTAAAAAACATTTTTCTTTGCTATGCCTGCTTTGCTAGTGTTAAAATACATTCAAACAAACAAGCTAAAAAACAAAACAAAAACACAAAATCAAAATCAAAAACAAAAAAATTATGTTAAAGGTATAACAAGGTCGTTTTCATTAACCCACTGCGAAAGAAATCACAGAAAAAATGTTCCTCGCACTCGTCCAATTTTATTGCCATCATGATAAATGATTCAAAAACTCCATTCAAACACAGTTTCCTTGGATTTTCTTCATTGTGAAATCCTGCATTGCTCTAGCTACTTACTTCATCATTTTGATCAGTTCCTCGTCATTGAACTTCACTGTCTCCAGAGACGTGAAGGCTTTTGCTTCATCAACAGTCGCAAATTCTACAAACACAGATCCTTTGAACGCACGTTCCAAATCCTTTCGCATGATGATGTAAATAACCTAAAGAAGACATTGAAAAAAAAAATTGAAACACACGAACAGTTGTACAATCATGTAACTAAAGAACTAGCTATCAATCCCCTGGCTTTTCAGAAAGTAACAATTTTGTTTCCACTTACCGTTGCGTCAAACGCAATAGTCACTTGATTAAACGCCGGGGCGTTTAACCAAGGACGGCGATTATATCATAACAACTCATTGGCAAAAATTACGGTAAATATTTTTTTACACAGAAACTTATTATAGGTTTCAGTTTTGCGCTTTTTTTTAAACAAACTTCCAAGGATACTGTTGATTATCAAATTGTTCCCTACTTCATATGATATTTAACAAATACATTCCATATTACTGTGCATCTGTTCACCCATAGATCATAGATGATAAACAAACTTCCAAGGATACTGTTGATTATCAAATTGTTCCCTACTTCATATGATATTTAACAAATACTTTCCATATTACTGTGCATCTGTTCACCCATAGATCATAGATGATATCAAAATGTTGGAAGGTTAAAAAAATAGAGCAACTGGTGGCATTACAACCTCAATCAATCAACGCAAAAAGCTGTTGAAAACGGTGCCTTAAAAAAATTTAATAGTGTCCTGGCGTGGCACTTAAAAAGCTGTATGTTTTCCCTGAAAAATTCTTGACACAAATGCATAAAAATTAGTACAAGTCCCAGCTTCTTACCTTTCCATAACTAGCAAAGAATTCCTCCAGTTGATCAAGACTGGAATCTTTGGGGAACCCTTTCTGTGTGGAGATCACAGTGGTGTCAGTATTAAAGTGAGCTGTACATTCCTTTTAAAAAAGTTTTTGCATATCATGAGAAAATTTGAACTTCCCTGGATTTGATATTTCCTTAATGACAGCTTGTTCAATGCAAGCTTGCTAAAAAGCTCTGTAAAAACTTCCAAAATCAGCCAATAACCCAGAAAATTTATATGACAGCAGCATACCATTTTTTTCAATTCCAGTTACTAAAGTTTGTTAGCATACAATAAAAAAAATAAAAAGAACTACAGTAAGAGCTTGACATTTGACCAACAACTCTGCTACATGTAAACATCATGGTTCCATGAAAAAAATCACGAGTTAATTACTGAGTTCCAGACATTTGATTTGCCGCAATGTTGGAATTGTTTGTTGCACTTCTGCCTCATCATTAGTTTACAATGTATGTGCTGCTCCAGTTTGAGTAGATGCAATGTATTTCTATTGATATGAATTAACAATTAGACATACACAATAGACTGTTTTGCTCTTTGCAGTTTGTCTAGCTTCAACTGTGTTCTCTGGGAGAGGTTTGGACGAGACTCGTCTTATTTTCTTGTTATCTTCAGTGATCTATAACAATGAAAACAGAGGAAAAAACTTCAGTTATATCTTCATTAGTTTATCAGGTACTTCAAGAAAATAAGGGCTCAAGGACTGGGCCATTTTTATTACATTAACCCTTTTGCTCCCAAGATCTGATTGTTAATTCTCCCCTCTAGCTGCTACACATTTCCTTGTAAATTAGTTACAAGAATTTGGTGTTAGATCAAGATGACAACTTCTACCTGATAAGTTTGAATATTCTCATTACCTGTTTGCTGGATAATGTATGGATATTATTGGGAGAAGTTGCATATTGATCACTGGTGGGAGTTAAAGGGTTAAAAATTCTAACATGGCCCTGAGGCAAGGGGGAATAAAACAAAAGAAATTAATTTATCATTCCTTAACCTCAAAGTGATCTCTTTTGTTTTATTCCCCCAAGCCTCAGAGCCCAGTTTGAATTTCAATATATTGAAAAAAATTTCTAGAGATGCTATGGCAGGTTCATCCTTCAAACTGCTGGGATTAGGAAAGTCAAAAGTGTCCCATGTGCAGTAAGAAAGATGGTAACTTTTGAATACAGGGAGGCAGTTACTAAAGAAACTGTGGTGTTGCATTGGTGGAGGTGTTAAATGATAATTTGATTTTGTTAACTGAGTTGTTAATGTAAATAGGCCACCTTAGAAAGTTCTGCCATTGATTTCAAGCATTAACCGTTCATCATAGCAAAACTGGTAATTGGTAACATTTGAGCTTGTTTTTTAAAGAAAAAAAGGGATGTTGACTATTTGCCATGAGTGGCTGACCAAGAAATAAGAAGATTGACACATCAAGTGTTTGTACCTCGACAAGTCCTGCATCTGATTTTCTCAAAGCATTTGCAATCACATCTGTATCTCCTGATAATGCCTGAAGATAAAGTCAAAGGCTGTTTATGGAGCAACTTATATAAAAAAAAAATAAATTGAGCGCATCTTAAATTTTTAATATCAAATTTTTACCTTGAGTCTGTTAAATGTTGCAAGACACTCCAATGTTATCCCTAGGCTTTTGTCAAGAAATAAATCAATAAATGTAACTTTATTGTGAAGTCCTAGGGGTATTAGATGTTGCTTTTTTTAATACTTTGACCAGGGTGATAATAAAGAAAGGAAAAACTTCCCTGACCTTTTAACTTTCTTGATCTAATCCTCATTTCTCCCTAATAACTGCTGTATATTTCCTTGTAAAGCAGTTTAGAGAGTTTGGCATCAGATCCCAGGGACACAACCTCACCTAAATGCTCATCCCCAGTTATGATCTGTTTGCTATATATTGTAAAGATTTTGCAAGGAAGGGTCAAATGTTCCAAATTGCATTTGAGAGTTTAACAGTTCGTTCTGCAAGTGGTAATCATATACAATTGTGCTACTGCCAAATAATAACCTTTATTTTAAAAAAATTAAACTGTATACGCATTCTTTACAGTCCCATTATGCATCCTGATCAAAAGGGTTTTGGAGTGAAGTACTAAAAATGGAATATTTCTTCAGAAGAAATGCCTTCATATGAAACACTTGAGAAGTGAGAGGGACACTCAACAAACCCTTGCTACTCTTCACTATGTGAAAAAGAATACTCTTTGCTATGTCTTGATATGCTTTAAACTTCCCAGGAGCTTCACAACTTGATGAATTGTTATTAAATTGTAAATTGCTATTTGGTAGTGGGATTTTAACCCTGTAAATGTTTGTACCAACACTGATTAATAATCATGGACATTGAAGAGTTATCAGTGGTCTAAGATTTTAACATAGAGCATTCTTAAGCTACAAGGTCAATCCGATTTAAGCATTTGACAGCTCTCAAATTACAGGATACATCCATCATCTTCTTCAGCTTTTTGTCTCAGAAACCTATCCTTGGGAAGATTTTTATCTCCAAAGTAAAACTGAAAAGAGAAAATTTGAAATTAAATATCAGTTCTCACAAAAAAGGGTTAAAAAGGGAGATTTTAAGGAAATGCAGTACGATATGAAACACTGTGACAAAGCTTGCTTCCTTGTATATTAAATTGCACCACATAACGTAACGACTGTCTCAGGACCTCGAGATCATAATGACAAAACCGAGCGTAAGTGCAATACAAAAAAAATATCAAAGTCTTCAGCAGGGGCACAAAACTCAGTTTTTTATTTTAACCATTTCAGTACTGTACATTCTACAAACTGAGCAGAGAGTACAGTTCGCTTATTGACCAGCTTGACCATACGGATTTAAGTTACCTATAAGTCGAACGTTCTGCTGAATGATTAACGATGCCTAAAGTACATTGGTAAAAAAGTATTTACCTAGCATAAAGATTCGTAGTAAAGTTCCAGTTTGACATTATATCAAGAACTAGACTCATGTATTAATCATAAGCTCTGACTGTAGATAAAAATAGCAGCATTACCTCCACTTGCTTGATGATCTTCTTTTCGAGGTCCGTAGGTGCTTCCTTGTTGCCATTTACGGCGTCGTTTTCTGCCATTTTTAGGGTATTTTTTGATACTTTACCGTTAAGAATTTGTCTTGAATAAACCTCAACTCAAATTAACCTGCTCAGGTTTTGTAACAAGGTAAAATTGAAGCTGCGAAACAGAAATAGTGATAAAAATTTGCAACACGTGCAGGATAGCTTTTCGATTTCACCACATTTTATCATACACGTTTGTGTGATCAACCGCTGACAAGTTTCCTTGTGATGCGTGACAAACTTTTGTTACATTTGCGTAACACAACTGCGTTACTCACATTTTCATGAAGTTTTTATGGAGATTTCCTCAAATAAGTGTGGCTAAGTATTTTCCTAAAAAACATTCAAATATTTGACTCCCAATCCGAAATCGAATCCGAAATCGAGTGTGAAATTGAATGAAGATGAAACAACTTTGTAATAACGTAACGTTATTATAACGTAAGCAGAGACGAAAATCCTCAAAGAGTAAACGAAATGGACAGTCCGAATTTTGAAGATTTTCACGCTCAGTTAGATTAGGCGAACACAGCTAACACTCGTATTCTGATATTAGGTTTCTTGTTCAAAAACAAAATAGAACAAATCAGTAATTTAAAAATACAGCCAAACTGGCATAACTGTTAAAGTTCATATTAATCATGACGGTGTCAGAGCGACTGCGATCATGCTGAGGTCTATCGCGGCGAGCTCATCATGGCGATCTCCGGTTATCGCAGTAAAATAAGCCTCAGAAATTACATCGGTCGCCGATGTAATTTTGTGGCGTGGGGAAGTGGATGTAGCCTGCTAATGAACTGGGGTGGGGAACTTACTTACAGTCGGAATAAAACCCAATGAATGGGATACAACGGTATTAGATATAACAAGACTTGGCGTCAGGGATGAAAAATTCTAGAAAGGTATATATTGAGAAAAGCTGTTATAGTTTGTTTTAATTTAATTTGCCTAAATCTCCGCTGAATATCGTGCCTAGTTGTCCCGGAAATCTCTATCGAATGAAAAATTTCAACTTCATTCCCAGGGTCTTCTCTCTTCCTCCTTCGAAGAGAGAGGACCCGGGGAACCTCGTTGAAAAAATGCATTAAAATCGCAAAGCTCTGCTCTTTAATATCTGTTTGGTCATAAAGAATAATTGATAGCTTTTTAAGAATAGGAAGTCGTTAATGTCTGTAAATTATATTAGTCTAATGATTTTCTCCTTTGGATTTAAATTTGGTTGATATGTGTTTGCCCAAATAATATATTTCTATGATGACAATAGAGGTAAATTATTCGTGCATATATAAAGCATTAATTACGCTTTTTCGGTTTTTTTTTAAAACTTAAATCAAACTGCGATATCGCGCTCAATTGTGTAAACAAGTGTACTAAACAACCCCTAAATCAAAAGAGTATCACTTTTATAATAGTAAAGAATTTCCTAACAGATGGTTACACTAAACAGTTACAAAAATGATAAATTTGTGGGCCTCAAATTCATGCAAACAAATTGAAAATAAACGTTATTGTTCAATATGAATATATAGCGTTTAACTGAACCCTAACTGGCTGGAGGGCTTCAACCTGGGGCCTGGGGGAAAGGTCTGCTCCCTTGTCAGCTGGCCATGGTCCCACCGCCTTCTCTCAAATAAAAAGTCAAATGAATCTTTTAACTTATTGAAAACAGCTTAAAATTTTGTGAAATTATAGGTCGAGGTCACACTTACGTTATTTATTAGGAAGATCC